GACAGTATTCCCCCGGCAATCCTTTCCTTCTATACCATATCAACATAACGACATGAGAAACTATACAATACATATTGTGAACACTGTGGAAAAACAGAGGAGAACATACATATTTGAGTGCCCAATTAAGCTGATAGGGAGTAGATTAACAACACCCGAAAGGACTTCTTCATGCAACACGTAACCTAACGGAACTTAGATGTTGTGATGGCCACTGGATTACATAGCTACAAAACAGAGCATTGAGAGGGAGAGGTGGCACAGAGGATTTATCCTCTGGTTAGTAACATCTGAGCTGAACAGTACAGCTGTCAGTTCTAGCCCCGTGTTGGTATGAGCTACCAGCCTTGTCCCTAGCTCGCCGTCCACCCAGCGGTTCGAAAGCTTCGGCGAGTAGATAAAATGGGTACCACTCCTTAGAGAGGGTGGGCACACCAAAAAACCCCCCCGGTGGGGGAGGTGTTAGCCAGCGACCGGAATGCTCAGCTTGCAAGATTGAAAGCCTAAGAAAAAATCTCTTCGACTCCGAGAAGCCTGTAATGGGCCGTTCCGGCCAGGCGGTGGCAGTGCGGCGCTGCAAGACCTGGAGAAGCTGACGTCATCTAGGCAAGCCGAAGTGAATATACAGAACACGTCTGATCGCAGCTGAACAAACCCTCGCCGACTGTGAATGTGTGTGATTTAAAAGATATATGTTGTCCTCCCTTACCCCCATAAATCATTGTTAGTCCCGCGTGAATGAGTAACTGTAAATCGCTCAGAGCCAGCAAGCTCTGCAGGATTGAGCGATTAATAAATTGAAAGATTATTATTATTATTATTGGACGAATCTGTGAAATGAAATTGTTATTATCTCCAATGGCTAGATGGAACCTCCATGTCCAGAGACGAGGATACCTCTCAGTGCCAGATGACAGGACACGGTCACAGCGGGAAGCTTTGACCTCCTTCCTCATACTTGTTGGCTTCCTTAAAGCATGTGCGGTACAGTGGCTAGAGTGTTGGACTGGATCTGGGAGGCCCGGGTTTGAATTCCCACTCTGCCATGGAAGCTTGCTGGGTGGACGGATAAAATGAAATACTACACCCCGGTCACACGGGAGGATTTGTCCCGCGAAATGGACGGGTTGAGGGCGCATCAAATGGGCGCAATCATACGGCAACATTTGAGAAGCGTAGCACACCTGTCACCAACCCGTACCGTCAGCCTGAAGAAGCGGATTTTAAAAGTACCAGCAAAAGGGTAGTAACAACCGGAAAACGCAGGTCACAGGCAAACGTCGGATCGCGGAAGCGTAGTTAATCCAGTGCATTCAGCACGCGCATGCGTCCCGTAGCACGTCTGATTGCACCATGCCGGTTCTTCCTGGCCTTTGATGCGCTTCAACATCGCCGTGTGATCACCGGCTATCGCCGTATGCACGGCACCTTGGGGAACCGTATGATCGCGTTACCACATATCTTTTTGACCCAGCGCTAAAATGCCTCCCTTTCACTGCGGATTTTCCCGCTCGTGTGACCTTACACAGAGAGTGATTAAAATGTGGAATTCACTGCCAGAGGATGTCGTGAGGGCCACAGGCATAGATGGCCTTAAAAGGGGATTACATAGATTCATGGAAGAGGGGTCTATCAGTGGCTACTTAGGCATAGTGACTGAGGGGAACCTCCACATTCACAGGCACAAAGCTGCTGAATCCCAGAGCCAGGAGGCAACATTAGAGGAAGGCCTTGGCCTCTGTGCCCTGCTGCTGGCCCCCCAGAGAAACTGGCTGGCCACTGTGTGAGATGGGATGCTGGACTAGATGGACCCACTGGCCTGATCCAGCAAGGCTGTTCTTAACCTCCAAATTCAGAGTGCTCCCTCTAAGCTGTGGAGTCTTGTGAGCAAAAATTCTACTTTGTGAGCTACTGGCATTAAAGCTGTGAGCAAGCAATTTGGCTACTGCATAATTTCGCTGGCTCTGGAGCCATCCTTCCAGAGCTCAGACAAAAGTGTGTGAGCTGGAGGCTAAAAAACTGTGCGCTAGCTCACACTAACTCAGCTTAGAGGGAACAGTGCAAGTGAGTCAACCTCTGAATCCCAGAGCCAGGAGGAAACATTGGGGGAAGGCCTCAGCCTCTATGCCCTGTTGTTGGCTGTCCAGAGGAACTGGTTGGCCTCTGGGTGAGACAGGAAGGATGCTGGACTGGATGGACCATTGGTCTGATCCAATGGGTGACTTAGGGCCAGTCACATACTCAGCCTAACCTACCTCACAGGGTTGTTTTGAGGATGAAATGAAGGATATGAGAACCATGTAAGCCACTTTGAGTTCTCATTTTGGAGAAAGGTGGGATTTAAATGAACCAAAAGAAATAAATGCAGTTAATTACTGTGAGAGGCAAGCTGCTGGATCAGATGGACTACTATAAAATAAAATTAACTAAATCCAGCAGAGCTCTTCTTGTGTTCTCATATATCACCAAAGAGTCCCCGGCTCAAATCTGTCTTTGGTTGTTCTCAGAATAAAATGAAGAAGGAATCCTATGCATGCTCCCCTGAACTATTTCCAGGATAGGTGGGTTAAAAAAAAAAGTTATTAAAGCCCCCCCCCTCCCCGCACACAGATAAAGCAGGCTGTTGCTCCTGAAAGCATATACCGCAATAAATCTGTCTTTAAAACACCAGAACTTTTGTGGGTTTTGCTACAACGAGGCTAGCACAGCTACTCCTCTGGGAATATTTTTTAAGCAGTACATTTTTTTAAAAACCCAAAGGAAGAAAAATAGATGTCGGAGGAGAACCGCTTTCTGGAAGGCGGCCCTGGATCTGGGCCATCCTCTGTCTCTTGCTGTTCTTGTTCCCCGCTCCCCGCCCCCCCCCCCGGTAATAATGGGACAGAGAGCAACGCTGTTTAGCAACTGCATATTATCTCTGGAGGGGAAAGAAGGGAAGAAGCGGGGGGGGGGGGAATGAGAGAGGAGAGGCGTGGTTTTCCCAGGCCTGCTTTCCCTCCCTTCGCCGGGTTGCGCGGCAGGAGGCTGGCTGGCGAGCTCTGCGTGTGTGTGAGTGTGTGCGAGCGCGCGCTCGGCGCAGGAAGCCAGAAGCGCTTTGGCACGTGCTCTCGTGGGTCAGGAAAGAGGAGGAGGGAGGAGGGACCTGGCGCGAGCCCGCGCGCGCGCGGCCCAACCTGGCCTGCCTCAGAGCCGGGTGGAGGCACGAGAACAGCTGGCTGCTGGCTTGGCCGCGAGGAGAGGAGGCGGAGGGCGCGGGCGCGGGCGGGAGGGGGAAGAGAGGCAGACAGGAAGCTTGATTGACAGCTCCAGGAGCTGCCAGCCAATAGGAGGGAGGTTGGCTTGCAGCCTCGCATCTATTGGCTGCCCGCCTGGCACGGCTTCGCGTGCCGGACCAGCTGCTGCTGCTGCTGCCTGGCTCGCTTGCCCAACCTCCTCCCCCCTTTCACCGCTGGAAGAGGTTCCCCCCCTCAAGTAACAGCTGGAGGGAGATGCAAGCGAGGTTTTGTCTGGAAGCAGCGGTGGATTTTTAAAATCGTACATTTAAAAGGGCCTCTGGAGTTTTGTGTTGTTGTTTTTTGCACGGATGCGCGCGCCTTGTATGGGCGAGAGAGCGCGTTGGTTGCCTGTACACGTTTTGGGAAATCTCGACTCTCATTTTTATTTCTTTAAACGAGGCCTGGTTTGCTAAAGCAGTTTTTTTAAGGTTGGGTGCGACTCGATACCGAACTGATTGCAAATGTATATAACCCAACACGATCTTTAAAGCTGCCTGGTTTGGGGAAGGCTTCGCCGAGACGTTAAAACACCAATCTCATTTATATCCAAATAAAGCAGCCCCGGTTAAAAATGGAAGTACCAAATGATATAAAATTCTCTCTAGTCTCTAACCTCTCCCCCCGACAGGGAAATCGAGGACAAGATCAGAAGGAAGCAGAAAATGAGAAGAAATATGGATGAAGGTGTTCCCCACCACCACCTTCAAAAATGTTTTTCAAACCCAGGAAAACAATGGGAGAGGATACATAATTTATTATGGGGGCTGAGCCTTCGTATTAGCTTTGGTTGCAATAAAAAGAGCAATAATAAAAACTACCTTAGTGGACGTTCTTCATTTCTAAAAACGCCCCCTCCCAATTCGAGGTTCCACCACACACACATGTCCTTTACCACCTGCTCGGTATTACGGGTGGGAGAGAGGATTAGGTATTTGTCCTATGCTGAGCATTAAACAGATTTTTTTTAAAAAAACATCTGGCCTGTATGGGCAAAGCCTAACGACAGAACGGTAGTGTGAAGGTTCCATGCTGAACTGGCGGAAGGGGGAGATCAAGTCTTGCCCCCGTCTTTGCCCTAAGGAGTCGTCCATTTCATCGATCCAACTTCTTCTGAAAGAACAGCATTGCCAAAACAAACAGCAAAACCCGGCGTCCATTCGTTTTTTGCAAAAAAAAAAGTGGGGGGGGGGACGAGATCCCACCCCCCTCCCCGGTCGCTCTACGTTATAGAACTGGATATGCGCTCGCGGGCTCACTCTCCCCCCACGACCACCCCAATACTTTCCAGGCTCAATTTGGAATTTCTGCATTCCTACGGGTCTCTTGGGGACTGGACGGCGAGGTTGCACTGTCGGTGCCCTTTCAATGGCTACCCAAGTTGCACGGCGCCCTCTTCTTTCGGAGGGAGGGCTCGCTGCCCTTCTATCCCCCCGCATTCCCATTTAAGCCGCCTTTATCCCTCCCCTTCTAAATTGCTGGTTTCCACCAAAGCCTGGGATTATTTCATTTTATTTTTTCCCCCCCTTTCCTTCTTGGAAGCTGGGCGCGTGACTGACAGCTCGCGGGGGCGTCCTCCAATCGGCGCGGCCGACGGGGTGAGTCCTGTCTCCGATTGGCTGGCGGGAGTGTGGGAAAGAATGTGGAGAAGGTTTCACACGAATTGGGAGCCGCCGGCGGCTATAAAGGCGCAGGGGGGTCCCTGAAGTCCGCCAGCAGCCAGCCAGCCAGCCGCGGCGGATCTGCAGCTGCAGAAGGGATCAGCCAAGCCACCGCTGCGTCGCGCGTAGCGCTTCCTCGCCTCCCGCCTCCCCCTGGCCCAGATTGCGGACGTAGACTTTTTCCCTTCCCCCTGGTGTGTGGCTGGCAAGCGCTCTAAGCCTGGGATCGAGCCCGAGAGTCCTTCGCTCCGACGGCCAGGCAGGCGGCCGCCGCGTTTTCTCACCCACAGCGGATATACAGTTTCCAGCAAAAGCCCGCCGGTCCCCTTCGGCTCTTGCAACGCGCTTTTTCCTTCCCCCCCCCCGATTGTTGCTTTTGCATTCGAATAAAGAGACTGCAAAGATGCCGGCTGACACCATGGAGAAACCTACCGCCTCCCCTATCGCGGGAGCCCCGGCCAATTCCAGCCAAACCCCCGATAAACCCAAGAGCGCCAGCGAACATAGAAAGGTAATTAAAATATATACATATTATCTCTGTGCTATTGGGATGAGGAAATATACCTGCGGTTTTGCATAGTAGACAAGTGTAATATTTTAACTGTGCTCCAAAGTGTTTGATTCTTGAATGTGTCTGTTTTTATCTGAGTAGTATGTATTAAGGGATGGATAGGAACCTTCACTCAGTTCTGATCTTTTTATAACCAGCCTTCATTTCTCCTGTGTTTAAGGCTGGTTAGTGCAGGAGAAAATAAAAGTGCTTGGTTATTTTGATGTGAGGGGGGGGGGCTTCTGGTGTAGCAGATCTCCAGGAAATTGCTGGGGGGGGGAAGGGGGCATAGAGAGAGAGTGACAATAGGAAACCAGTGGACTGGCATGTTTAGAAAAAAACAGCTTGCTGTCTTAAGTATCTAGAAAGAAGTGATAGGTGCGTGGTTTTTTTTTTTACCAAGGGGTAGGTTGACAACTGGTGTCGGTGGGAATGCACAAATGGAGAAACAGGGTGGGAATTAGAAGCCAGGCATAAGAGGAGTGGAGGAAATCCACAGCGCTAAGAAATTTTCTAGGACATCTACATTGTCCAGTGCGATGGATTAAGGAATCGAGGTGCATGCCTCTAAAGTTGGGGGGGGGGGCTACCAGGAAACCAATTCCAGGGCAGAGTCACGAGGAGGAGATTGAATGAATAATGTTCTCACTTAATGTGTTTGTTTCCTTCCCCCCCCCCCCCCAGTCATCCAAACCGATCATGGAGAAGAGACGGCGTGCCAGGATCAATGAAAGTTTGGGCCAGCTCAAGACACTCATCCTAGATGCCCTGAAGAAAGATGTAAGTGGAGAGTGGGAGGCAGACCAAATCCAGAGGACTTTGAAGGTGGTGGGAGGCAGGGGGCCTGGCTTCCTTAAGCCCCCTGAGGTGTTTCAGTGGATTCTGGGGCATGCGGCTGTGCCAGAAGCAGCAAGACTTTGTCTTCCTCCACCACCCCAAATGTTTTGGCCCGGGAAAGCTAGGCTGGTTATATTATTATACCAGCTTTGTTCGAGGGAGGGGGGAGAGACAGCAAACATTGTTAGGTGAAGGTGTTGTGGTCCTGGGGAGAGATTTCTCTGCTGTACTTACCCCCCCCCCTTTTGCTTCCTTCCAACAGAGCTCCAGGCACTCCAAACTAGAGAAAGCTGATATCCTGGAAATGACAGTCAAACACCTGCGGAACCTTCAGCGAGCCCAAATGACAGGTGAGTGGCGGCTATCCCATTTCTGCCAAGGGAGGGGCGCTATTAATTCCTGGAGCTTTTTTTGCAAAATTTCCCTGTCCGCTTTTCTCCTTTCAACAACTGTCCCATGAAAACACTGAAAACTGCCTGTTGTGAGGTAGCCCTATAGGAAGGGGTGTGGCTTGATAATAAGGCACATGGTTTGCATGGACAAGGTTCGTCCCGAGGCATTTCCACTTAAGGGATTTCAGGTAGCAAGGGTTGGGAAAGAGCTGCCTCCGCCTGGAGAGCCACTGCAACACTGGGCTTGCGAGATCAATGATCTGACTTGGCATAAAGCAGCCCGCCCCGCCCCTTTCTCTGTTAAGAGATCTAGTACACTTGGCACCCGTATCCTCCCTTCGAGTCGATCTCCCTGTGTGACAATAACCATCCTTGTGGCAACTCCACAGCTAGGCTGAGAGGCTTGCCCAAGACCACCCAAATGAGCTTCATGACTCAGTAAGGATTTGAACTCGGGTTCCTCTGGTCCAAGCCTAGTGCTTTCTCCACGAAAAAAGGCTCCTCTGAGAAGCTTAGTGGCAGGATTCAAATCTGGGTCTTGCATAGCCAGTTGTCCCTGTAGTGTGCTGGCTGGGTACTCAGCCAGCTCCTGCAACCACCAACACTTTGCCAACCCAAGAAAGCGGGGGGGGGGGGATTCCAGAGCCAGCACACAGCACTGTGCAGATTTTCCCCAAGTGGCAGGGACATCCTTTAGGAAAGGAATTTGTCAGAGAGCTCCGGGGACTTTGAATTATTCCAGCCACTAATCCCTCCCCCTCCCCCTCTTCTCTCCACTGCAGCCGCCCTGACAGCTGATCCTACCGTACTAGGCAAGTACCGGGCTGGATTTAATGAGTGCATGAATGAAGTCACCCGTTTCCTCTCTACCTGCGAAGGGGTGAACACGGATGTTCGCAGCCGGCTGCTGAGCCACCTCTCAGCTTGTCTCGGTCAGATTGTGGCCATGAACTACCCGCCCCCACCGCCGCCGCCTCCTCAAGCCTCAAGTGGACAGCCCGCACATCTGGCTCAGCCTCTACACGTCCAGTTGCCTGGCCCAGCTGCTGGACCTGGAGCCATGCCAGTGTCCTGTAAACTGAACCCCGCTGAGACTTTGTCCCCAAAGGTCTATGGGGGTTTTCAGCTGGTGCCGGCAACCGATGGCCAGTTTGCTTTCCTCATTCCCAACCCGGCCTTCCCGCCTGGCACTGGGCCAGTGATACCGCTCTATGCCAATGCAAACATGCCAGTTTCTTCCGGCAGCTCGACAGGGACTCCTTCTGTGTCCCCAGTGCAAGGACTCACATCCTTTGGGGGGAGTTTAGCACCCGTCTCCCAAGCTGGAGGTGACCGCAGTGAATCTGTCTGGAGACCGTGGTGACTCCCTTTTAACTACCCCCGAGACCCTAAAGATATTTGAATTTGGTTCCGTTGTATGGAACCTGGATTTGTGTGTGTGGTTTTGTTTGTTTTTTTACTTTTAATTCTTTTCAAATTATTTATTCATTTCCAAAGGATGGGATTTTAGCTTGCATTTTTATTCTTTTTTTTAAATAAATAAATAAAATGTTGGTTATGTGACATACTTCTCTTAAAATAAAAAGAAAGTCTTAGTTTTGTATCAAATATTCCCACATACTATGCCAAAGCTTCTATTTGTGAGTCTGTGTATGTCTGAGCTTTTTTAAAAGAAATGTTGGAAGGTGTTTGTACAAATAAAAACTTTCTTGAACTAGAAACAACAGTGTGTTACTTGATGGGGGAAGTATAGTGGGATCAGACTTATATACTCACCTAGGGTGAGCAGAAATTGTCTCTAGGAAACAAGTTTTGGACACAGTGGATAAGAATGTGCTTTTTATTACTTCCACAGGTATACGTAAGCATACCTAGTACAATTTTTATAGGGGCCGTAACCTTTGCTGGATCTCTGTGCAACGTTGGGTGGGGATACATCCGCTGTGTGATTAGTTCCAGGACCATAGATATATTATGGCCCATCAAAATCAGTGTCCCCTAAACACTAAGCTACATGGGCCGTCTTAATGAGCACTTGGCTGTACCCACATCTCATCCTATTATATCCTATTAAATAACATTACTAGCTTTTTTCAACCAGTCCCTGCCCCCCCAGACCTCTAACAGTGGTGTGGACTGTTATTATCAGCAGCTATAAGGACTCCATGCTGCTAGAAGCTTCACCTTCCGATTTTTGCAAACCAAGCCACTTATTAATAAGCCGGCTATTGGAGTCATTTGGCAGTGCTGCTTATAAAGAATACAGTGGTGAGAAGAAACTGGCAGGGCTGGGGGGTGCACAGGGTGGGGCTGAGAGAATAGGAAATAGATACCCACGAGGTATGGCTTCACCCAGCCCATAAAAATGTCTCCAGAAGAGCATGCAAGTAATGAAAATTAGTTTGTGGTTGAAGTCTCCAGACTTTGTTTGAGGGGCAGAGGTTGTCAGGGTGTTCCTGAACAAAGGTTATCGGCCCTTGGAAAGATATGGGCCCTTAGGCAGAGTGAGACACTGGTCCTCGTAGCTCTGTACCTTCAACACTAACAATGGCTCTCCAGAGTCCCTAGCAGAAAAGTGGTGGTGGTTGTTTTTTCTGAACACCTGGAGATAACAGGGATTGAACCTGGGACTTTCAGTGTGCAAAGCATGTTCTCTACCATTAAGCTACAGCCAATCCCAAGAGGAATCTATGAAACGGCTTTATTCTAAGTCAAACCAGCCAAATGCTCTCTATTCTGGTTGGCAGTGGCTTTTCCAAGGTCCCTGGTGAGAATAAACTATTTCCCAACACCTGGCGCTTGAAGTCCTTTAATTGGATATGCAGAAAAAGACTGAACCTGGGACCTTCAGCATCCAAAGCATGAGGCCTGACATCCTCTTCTGCGCCTGTCATCAATGTTCCAGGGAGTGTATCTAGCCCCCAAGCATGATGGGTCAGTAATCTGTTGCCCAACCTTGTGTAGTTCTCGGCACCCTGATGGCTTTCTTTGAAAAAGACAGTGGTGATCTCCTCACGTGAGCTGTTGGTAATACAGCCTGGCAAGGTAAGTCAGAATCTATACTGTGCTGATGCAACCTGTCTTGCCTAAGGACAAATTAACAAGCTTATGGCAGAGGGAAGGTTTGAACGCGAGCCCTACTGGGTCCCATTATCTTCGTCCTACGCTCTAACACCTCCCATTAATAAGGTTAGTGGAGGAAAGGTGTAACATGTTTACCAGTCTGCTGGAACTTGATGAGCCGACTGTGCTTTGAGGGGGCCAAGGCATGTAAGCCATGTATCTAGGATTCCCAGCTCTAGCTTGGGAAATTCCTGGAGATTTGGGAGCAGCACTGAGGGATGGAGGAGTTTGAGGGGGAGGAAACTATATGGGGATGCAATGCCATAAAGCCGGCCCTCCAAAGCTGCCATTTCCTCCAGGGGAACTGATCTCGGTCGTCTGGAGATCAGGTGTAATTCTGAGAGACCTCCAGGCCTCACCTGGAGGTTGGCCACCCTTCTACCCCCATACCGCCTTTCAAAGCTGGTTTTCAATTGACCAGTAAAATGCCGGATGACCTCGTGCAATCTGTTTGCTCTCGCACAGTATCTATGAGAGAATTCTCACTTCCGTGATAAACCATTTAAAAAAAAAAAAAAACCAACAACAACCCTGCTTCATCCAAGGGTTGCTTTAGCAAAGAAAGAAAGAAAAGTTGTGGAGCAAGAAGCTGTACTTGCAAGGTACTTTCCCCGCGATGCTAATGCAGATGTGCCAAGCATTGACTCTGGTTGAATGCTGAGGAACAGACATTCACTGTACATGCACAAAGGCACACCGCTATTTATTGACCGATTGCATCTTGCCTTTCTCAGCTAAACACTGGCTCCACACACACTAACACACACACACACAGCATCAACATAAAATACAAATGAACAAAGTTTGAGTCCAGTGGCACCTTTAAGACCAACAAAGGTGAATTCTGGGTATAAACTTTTGTGTGCATGCACACTTCATCAGACACCTGAATATATCTGAAGATATCTGAAAAAGTGTGCATGCACACAAAAGTTTATACCCAGAATTCACCTTTGTTGGTCTTAAAGGTGCCACTGGACTCCAACTCTGTTCTGTTGCTTCAGACCAACACGACTACCTACCTGAATCTACAAACATACAAATGACCCTTAGCGTAAAGGACTCTCTGCCTAGCTGGATCCAGGAACATGGAGAGCTGCTTCTCCCCCTAAGTGGCCTCCGCAATGGCACCTGCATGTTACTTCCCATGGCCCAGGGCTGAGGATTGGCACTTGAAACAAGTTTGGGGACTAAGCCTGGCATAACCCATATTTATGCCTGCCTTTGTGACTTATTTTGCAGGGAGTTGGCTGACACAAGGTCAGCAACTCATTTCCCAAAAATACGGTACATACTGGGGCTCAAACCTACCAGGAAGTCACACCCTCTGACCCAAAAAAGCTTAATCCAGACGCATGAGAATAAACTACAGTTGCTTTGTGGGGAGTAAAGGCACTCCGCACCTGGAGATCGTGGACCTGACAGGGCTGCAGTTCCGTGAGCAACTTCATGACGTTAGGTGACCTTGGGCCAGTCACTGTTAGCTCTTGCTCCTTTAACTTTTGAAGACAAAATGAGAGGGCTGCACACTATATGTTCTGCCCTAAACTAAACTCTGCCAACAAAAGTCTGTATGGTCCAAACAATGATATTCCCAGTAGTAATATATGGCTGTGAGAGTTGGACCATAAGGAAGGCCGAGCGCTGAAGAATAGATGCTTTCGAATTATGGTGCTGGAGAAGATTCTTGAGAGTCCCTTGGACTGCAAGGAGATCGAATCAGTCAATCCTAAAGGAAATCAACCCTGACTGTTCCCTGGAAGGCCAGAGACTGAAGCTGAAGCTCAGATACTTTGGCCACCAAATGAGAAGGGAGCACTCGCTGGAGAAGACCCTGATGCTGGGAAAGACTGAAGGTCAAAGAAGAAGGGGATGGCAAAGGATGAGATGGTCAGACAGTGTTATCGATGCAGCGAACATGAAGTTAAGCAAACCCCGGAGGATGGCGGAGGACAGGAGGGCCTGACGTGATGTGGTCAATGGGGTCGTGAAGAGTCGGACTCAACTGTGCAACTGAACAACAACAACAACAACAAACTCTTGGGAAGAAGAGCAGATTAAAAGATGAAAAAACTATAATGTCTAATTCAGCCCAACATCAAATCAAAGGTATACCCCACTTGATTGCTATGACCAAGGGACTGGAGGATCTTTCCTATTAGGAAAGGCTAAGGAAGGTGACATAGTAGAGGATTCTAAAGGGATGCACGGGTGCAGAGAGAATGGACACACAGAACTTTTCCTTCCTTTCTCAAAAATATTAGAACTTGTGTTCACCCAAGGAAGGATAGGGTCTCCAGCTGCCTGGAGGAACAAATACCTTGCCCCTTTAATAAAAGACTTAAGGGGATGTCATATCCATTTCCACACGAGGGTTCTTTTAAAGGGACAGGGCATTTTCCTCCAGGCCTGTTAGCATCTCTCCCCAAGGATGTTGATAGGCAATAGATTCAGGACTGACAAAAGGAAGTTGCTTCTTCACAGGAGGTGTCATTAACTTGAAGAACTCACCGCCATAAAATGTAGCGATTTCCATTTGCTTAAAAAGCCTTTAAAACGGGATAAGACAAAATCATGAAGAATAAGGTCTATCATTGACGGCTAACTAAGACCCCCACGTTATTTACTGACCTATTTATTTATGCACCCCTGAATATTATTTTGCACGGGAACAACAGCCGGGGGTGGGGTGGGCTTTTGGCATCCGTGTCAATTGGCAACTCCGGGCCTTTAGAGATATTTAGTTAACCACTCTGGGAAACAGGACAGCATTGGGCGAGAGGGACCTCTGACCTGATCCAGCATATGTGCTTACGTTTTATGGGAAGGAGACTTGCACCTGTTTCACTCTCTTGCTCCCATCATTTCTTGTTTAAGGACCCAGGCGGAGGGGTTGAGGGCACAGCTATCCTCCTGTCTTATAGGAAGGCCGGCAAAGAAGAGTCCCGGCCCTTTTGTGGTGAAGGGTAATTAAAAGGTATAAAAGGTCTCATTGGGTATGCAGCGGGCTCTTTTGCGAGGCCGAGAGCCTATTGAGATTCCTGGGAATGAAGAGCAGAAGGGTTAAATGTGCCTCTTTTCCTGATTCCACCCCCCTCCCGCCCAAGCCCCCTTCTCATTGACAGGGAGAGATGGACTCTCATACTCAATGGCGTTGTAAATTCAATCGCCTGCCCTCACAATGCCTACCTCATAAAAGAGAATAATTCAGGCCTGTTTCTTTTTCTCCTCTCTCTCTTTCTCCCCCCCCCCCCGCCCATCCACGGTGGAAAGGACAGTTTTGCCACCCATTCTGACTCACACGCAGAGAGACACGCACACCAAAGCATGTGAATCCCAGCCCAAAGGGAAGGAACTGCAACCAGGATTTCACTGCCGAGAAAT